CTGTTGAATCCATTGGTGGTGGTCTCATTGGTCGGAGACTTTTGCGTACCGAGATATAGGGCCATGATCAACCCGAAATCCCGGTAAAGTAGGAAATGCCACTATCTATCGTCATAATTTTACACTTTACTTAACGTATATTACTGGAAATTGATAGTACTAAGTATATACGGTGCAAAGACACCATATACGCCCTCAGGGAAACTCTACTGGCCTAAAGGAGGATCCGGAACGACCAATAAAGTGGCCACATTCTAAAAAATGTCCTAGTGCCTTGTGATTTGTTCTATGTTGTTCAGAATCAAGAGATCAAAGCGTATTTAATATGGAAACTATATTTTGGGGTACAGTGCCCCTTTTCTGGTTCTCCGGATAATCTGGATTGACCGATAAAGTGGCCACATTATAAAAATTGTCCGCAGAACCTTGCGGTTAGTTCTATATTTTCAGAATCAAGAGATCAAAGCGTATTTAACTTGGAATACATATTTTGGAATATAGTGACCATTTCCTGTTTCTCCGGATAATCTGGATTAACCGACTTCACCCCAAAATTTCAATTCTATATTAAATTCGCTTTGATCTCATGATTCTGAACAAACATAGAAAAAATCACAAGGTTCTAGGATCATTTTTATAATGTGGTCACTTTATCGATCAATCCAGATTATCCGGGGAAACAGGATATGGCCACTATATTCCAAAATATTTTTTTCAAGTTAAATACGCTTTGAACTCGTGATTTTGAACAATATGGATAAACCGCAAAGGATCTAGGACCAGTTTTTATAATGTGGCCACTTTATCGGTCAATCTAGATTATCCGGAGAACCAGGATATGGCCCCTTTTCTCCAAAAATAAAATTCTTTATTAAATTCGCTTTGATCTCATGATTCTGAACAAACATAGAAAAGGTTCTAGGACAATTTTTATAATGTGTCCACTTTAACGGTCGTTACGAATCCTCGAATACGAATAGGTCAGTAGAGTTTCCCTGAGGGCGTATATGGTGTCTTGACATCATATATACTTAATACTATAAATTTCCAGTAATATACGTAAAGGAAAGTATAAAATTATGTCGGTAGATAGTGGCATTTCCTACTTTACAGGGAAGTCGGGTTGATCCCGGCTCTCTATCTCGGTACGCAAAAGTCTCCGGCCACCACCAATCGATTCAGCAGAGTTTTTCCTTTGAGAATTTGTATAACATGTTAACTGAAACCGCTTGGCACACAGCAAAAAAATAATTTTGATATCACGTCAAAATGGATGCACTACAATCATGTCGAAAATATGGTGTAATATTACTTGCTAAAAAGGACAAAATTATCATTAATACAATGCATGAACTGACATTACGCTGCTTTTACTGCATTTGTTTATTTATGTGGTCATAAAAATTACATGAAATTTTCGACATGATTGTAGTGCATCCACTTTGATGTGATATCAAAATTATTTTTTTGCTGTGCAGCCGAGATATTCAATTTAGTCGCGGTTTTGTCAATTTTTGCCCACTGTGCACTGTTTGGTGGTATTTGAGTAGTTGCAGCTTGCCAGAATAGGCAATCCACCTCATGCTGCTCCAAAAAAGCCAGTAGTTTCTTCCGTAGGCACTCGTCCTGGTAAATATGCTGGTTCATGGTCCCAGAATTAACGAAAGTTTTGCAGACAAGGAACTTTTTGAAGAATTTCGACTTCTTTTTATTTAACATAAGGTATAAAATTCTTGCCCAGGAATTTGATCGAAAACTGCCAGAAGCGAATAGACCGGGATTTTCGCTTCGAGCGTGCAAGATCAAATGGCGACCTGCTTGCTCTGGTGAAGCCATGATGTAAGCAAATGAATTTATCCTGACAACCAATGCCTACTGTGATTCTATACACTCTTAGCTTGATTCAGTGAAAATCTAGGACAAAAGAGAAAGATCTCACCAACATAATCTGCCTGTCTTTCCATGTTTTCGAAGCTGTTTCACGCAACATCCTCGCCATTACTCTCCAGCACGCGTTTTCTGTTTTGCACCACTCAGAATAATCGAACTTTTTTCCTTTGGTTTATTCTTCCGTGCTGAGCACCAATGCTTCCGAAGGAAGGCGTGATGAGATATGTTATGCCTCAGAACATCCCGGCGGCACCGACTGGGATTGAACCCAGGCCTGCTGGGGTGAGAGGCAATCACGCTTACCACTACACCACTGGCGCCGCTCTTATAATAATCGAACTTCTTTTCCACTCAAATCTAGCAATATTTTCAGCGTAATTTCTACAGCATGTTGCCAACTGCGAAGCATTTAATTACTTTTACTTTTCAGCAACACCTTGCACGTCTTGATCCGTTCTCGGCGACTAACTAGCCCGTGGCTAAAAATCTCTTTATAAAAGCTTTAAAACAAAAGACTTCATCCGAAAAAAAAAATCTCGAAGCGCTAAGAACACTGCCTCTCAGACCTCAGACTGCACTTTTTAGTTGCATGTTTACAAAGCATTAGAACTTTCTGTTTATCAACTGTGAGAGGTTAGTGGTAAGCGTGCTTCTTACCCCAAAAGGCCTGGTTTAAATCCCAGTCGACGCCGCCGGGATTTTCTAAGGCGTAAAATCTCTGATCACGCCTAAGTAAAGCCGTTGGTCCCCGGTCCATGATTTGATGGGTCGATAGGCAGCGTTCTGGTGTGGAAGCGCCTTCATGGCGTCGGTAGCAGTGGAAGTCAGTACGGAAAACAAGATCGACGAAAATCAAATCAAGGAAAAAAAACTGGGAGAGGGTCATTTGTTTTCATAAAAAAAACACTCCTACGAAGGATCATAGTGTTGGTGTCATCCCGAATCGATCCGGGACGATGGTATTGGTGCCGACTAGTCGCCAATGATGGTCGAGCAAAAAGGATATCTCAACAGGATAACGACAGTAAAGATGCCATCCAAGTGAAATGTCTCTCCGGAAGGGTTCAATCATGATTTTCGTCCCGGATCGGGCACTTTCCCGGCGAATTTAAACGCACCATAAGTAGCACTTCACTTTCGCACAGGTTCCGATGGATTCGATTCCATTTGATCGGGAATTTTCACGGTCGGACCGTCCGCAAACACTCGCCATTTTACTACTCCGCCACTCTTTTTCCTCAATGGCAGTCTTATACCCCGTACAGACTATGGCTTATATCATGTAATATAGGATGTCTTGCAATGAGCACTCATATATCTAGTATTCACTGGAAATCCTACGTATGAGTGCTCATTGCAATACAGCCTATATTACATGATATAAGCCATAGTCTGTACGGGGTATAAATGTTTCCAAGTCCTAAAGTTTTCATTTTTACCAAGAAAAGTATGACTTTAATGTTTTTTAGAAACTGCAAAACCTTGAAAAAAATAAGTTGAAGATGTTGTTATGTTTTTAATATCCCCCAGACAGAGGTGTTGAAACATTCTCAAAGTTACATGTTCTAAGAAATACTAAGTTTAATCATTCACTTTGCAAAATTTGTCCTAATGACTTTTAGCCTAATGCTTCATTCGGTCTAATGACACTACACCTTTGAAATGTTGTTTTCGGTCTCAGTAAGGGAAGCTAGAAGATTTTAATTTTATTTGTTTTGAGTTTTAAAATACTCAAGATCTGACAAGCAATTTTTAAAATGAAATATAATCGTTAAAATTCAATTGGAATTTGTAGCCAATCTTTCTAAACATAGGTAGATATTTTAATGCAACTTAGAGTCACACCCCATATTTTCAGTGAAAACTTTTGTCTGAAGATTGATTGGAGTATACACCTGGGTGCAGTACTGAGCAAACGTGGAGTATGGCTCGAGATACGCGATGTTTTTATTGGCACGGATACACAAATCCGGTGAATCGGAGTTAGAATGTTAGCAAAATTACTAGAGGTAATAAATGAACTTTGAAGCAGACAATAGTTTTTCCCGTTTTTAATTTACACACTAATCCAGTCAATAAGGTTTGTCTGAGTTTTTCAATTGCAGAACTGTTCGGTGAAAGCTTAAAAATTTAAGGAAAATTCAAAGAAATTTATTCCGAACTTGTACAGCCATAGTTCTGTTAACTAACTATTAATTTGATGATTTTATTGATTCCTTACGGATAACGGTCATTTGAATTTTTACCGACATTTTCAGCAATTCAAAAACCCAGTAAAAAATACTGACTACTGAAAAAAAAACCTATGTGTGAATCTCACTAAAAAGATAGCAAACAGTTGCTTCAGCACAATCATCTCTAATGGTACTAGTTGCTTTGTTTACGTATCACTCACAAGGTCAAGTGTGACGCAATAATGATTTCTGGGAATCTTTTTCACGTGACACTAACCCAAATTTAGGAATTAATAGAATCATTTATGCCTACCTGGTTGCCCGAAGAAGATGACGAAATCCATCAGCAAGAAAGGAAAACCCTCGCCATAAACGGCGAATGGGAACGACGGAAATAATCTTCGAATCACCAAAGATGAGCACTCCCGAAAGTTTTCTCATTCTGGCATGCGATAATTCATGATAAAGAAACGGAGGACAAAGGAAAATCTCAGTCTTGCTTAGCGTAACGGTGGTGACGTGAGGGCCAGCGTTCAGAAAGTCACTGCGATTGTCCCACCGAATCCCACAACAAAACAAACGTTTTTGCCGTATTCTGCACCGACAAATTGTTACACCATCAATCAAAATCACAGATTTGCTACCCATGGAAAGGAAACGACACGACGGAAGAGAGTAAAAGCACTGTATGAATGCCGTGAAACGACAACTTTTCTTTTTGCAGCAAATTTGAACCTGTTATACATATGTATTCTAGGCACGTCGCCTGAACGGAATGAATCAGTTTGGTAAAGTGTCGTCAGGCAAAAAATAATTACTTGAATGTTGCAGTACGTAATACATGGAATGATTGATAAGAACAAGAAAACTCAAGCGACCGCACTGAACCCTGAACGTTTAATCTAAAACTAATTCATAAATGGGTAAATTACTTACCGAAAAACGGATTTCCTTATCTAGGACGTTATCGTTGATGACCTGTATGAGACCTTCCTCGCTGGAGGGAAGAATCGGTACCAGAAACACGTATGGTGATTTGGTGAGTTCTTTCAGCTGTAAATGAAAAATGGAATGGATTGAAAAATAGAGGTCATTATAGAAGATAACAGCATGTGGTTTTCATTCAAACTAAATGTATATCTTTGATGATGAATATATTTTTAGATGCTTATTATACTGTTAATTAACTGTTAAAGCAAAGTGCACCAGTTATGGTATTATTTCATTTAAGCAATAGATGTACACGCAATGCAAATCGCATGTATGTATATCAAATGGAAGTGTATATATCTTACAGCCTGTGTATATGTTTCTTGCGAGAAATGTAGTTGCACTTCTTACAGGGAACTATAGCGTACAAGCAAGTTTTTTCCAGAATTTACATTTCCATACAAAATCCTCACATATTGTATACTTATGACTTATAATAAGCAAATCCATATTGCAATCACAAGACTAACATACCATTAGGCTGTGAATCGTTGTTATCATTCTTTGTAATGTTATAGAAAATTAAAGTTTTTTTTTATTTGGAGAAAACATATTTAAAAATTCAATAAATAAAGGCTACCATAGGAGAAGTTGATAGATCAGAAAGAACCTTAAAAACTATACAGTACATGACATAATCTTCATGCAGACAAGTTGATTCCGATTCCCCACTTGTCCAATTTCTTTTCTATAAGCTCATGAAGGGTAGGATATATAAAGCTTATATAACTTTGCAAGATAGCATAATAGTAACTGACAGTCGACGACAAAAACGTTTGTTTTTACCGGTCTTATTATTGCCTTGAACATTGTACGCTGAACAAATGAAACACAAAAATGTATGCTCCAAACCAAAACTTGAGTGAGCAACCATGAAAGACCTTGCATAACGCTGGAATACGAATTTTGACTTCTATAACATAGCAGCTTGTTTTAACATTTTCGTATGTTTTCCTAGGGAAAAGTTGGATTCTCTTCCATTTTAGTTTCATTGTCAGCTTTTGAAACTTTTAGTTTGGCGACCTTCCTTAGCTCAGTCAGTATACTGGAGGTGGCCGGGTTCGATTCCTGATCAGGGTCGGGTTGAAAAAAATCTCGACTACCCTTGGCATAGAGTATGGTTGTACCTACCACACAGTTATACTAATACAAAAATACTACAGGCTTAGAAAGCTCTCAATTAGCAACTATGGAAGTGCATCTAGAACACTAAAATGAGGGCCTCCTGCTGGCCATACATACCGCACAAGATTTTTAAAATGTGATACGCGAAATCCGCGATTTCTCAAAACAAATCCACGACTTCAAATACTAATCCGCGAGAAATAAAAAAAAACTGCTTAAAAATACCATTTGTATTACTGCTACATGGTATTTGGTATATATACTACGTTTTCAGAAGAGGACCGTGATCGTGAATATTTTGAATCATATCCAGAATTTTCAAGTGACATCAGCGTAAGTCAAATCAAGGTTCATGATATCTTAAACAATTTAGATGCATCTAAAGGTCCTGGCCCTGACGGTGTTCCGCCAGTTTTTATGAAAACTTTAGCAATTGAACTTACTGCTCCATTATTTTGGATTTTCAATATGTCACTGGAATCCGCCCAACAAACAATTCAAAGTCACAAATAAGCATATATGAATATATGCTGTACAAAAGTGTACAATGCTGAATAAAAAGAGTTGTCGAATTATGTGCTGAAAAAGCTCATTGTTCCACTGTTTGCTCTGATCTGATTAATTTACTTATTAAAAGCTGTAAAAGTGTTAAATGTCTTCCCAATTCAACGCCAGAAGTACGATCTAATAACAAACTGAATAAGTGTAATTTGTACATACATTTACACTTTAATTCGACTGTTTTCAATTGATTGAATAACATGCTTTATTAGACGTCTAATAAATGTTCTCCAGCTCATTGTTCATTGCATTACTTTACAATATTGCTGAATAACGGTGAATACAGTCAGCATAATAGCTCTTATACCACTATGCGTCCATGTTGTAATCACATGATTTGTAAATGCTTTATAAACGACTTATTAGATTAATTATTCGACAATACTGATTCAGTCTTACAACAAGGCGAAATCAGTAGAGTAGTGGTTACCGTTTCCGCTTTCCAATTAGAAGGTCGTGAGTTCAATCCCAAGCTCAACCCTTTTTTATTATTTGTGTAGAACATAATTAATTTAAATAGTAATCATCGATCACATGACTAACGATAATGAATGCATTGATCTAGTTTAAAATATAACCGAGCATCCCTTCTTTCGACTTGGAGATGTGAAGAGGCAACATTGGTCTCATTTAAAACAACGATGAATGAATTAATCATCCCCACAGGGCCTTGAAGGAGCTAGAGTTGCGATAGGGAGTGCTGATAGGTGTTTACTTTCATGCAAGCTTTTATAGATTATTGAGTTGCCCATATGATGAATTCTAGGATAGCTCAGATGACAAGGCAAGCGGCTGGTGATCGGAAGGTACATGGTTCGATTCCCATACATCGGCATGTATAAGTAATTAATAAATTTTCTAATATCACGTCAGAAATATTGAAATACAATACAATACAATACACAAACACACACACCCTTCCCTTGTCCCTGTCTGTCCTCTTATTTTCGGGTTAATTTTCCCACAGTTGAATAATCGTTTAATAAATGTATAATAATGTCTAATTAAACGTTACTTCACATGAGAATCAAACGTATACAGAGCATCACTGTTTTTAGGAAGCAGTGATGTCTAATAAACGCTGAATAATCAATAAATTTATCGTATAAACTCTGTTACAACTCTCATATAAGTCGAATAAAAGCTTCTCGACATACCTTATAACACCAGTAGTTCAATGTTGTGGTTGAATAAATTCTCCAGATTTGTGTGAACAAATCCTGAACAGAAGTTATTATTAAAAATAGTACAAGTACTATTAAGCATGCAGTTGAATAAAAATGGCCAAGAAGTCGTTTCTTCAATAGACGATTGTTTGTAGGGCGGAAACTTCCCTAAAATATGGAAAAACTCGTTTTTAGTGCCTATCTTTAAATCGGGTAAAAAATCCGACATACGTAATTATCGTGGTATAGCTATTATCTCTTGCATTCCGAAACTTTTCGAGGCGTTTAAAGGCCTTCTTTAAAGGCCGTTCAACAACTACGAATTTGATCGAATTAATTAATTATTCCTTGAATGCAATGGATAACGGAAACCATGTAGAAGTGTTGTATACAGATTTCAGCAAAGCGTTTGATCGAATTGACATACCCATGCTTCTTTTTAAACTTCAAAAAATGGGAATTCATTACGCACTCCTCAAGTGGCTTGAATCATATTTAACTGACCGTCATCAAATAGTAAAATACAAAGGAAAGATATCAAATCCCGTTGACGTCACTTCAGGAGTTCCTCAAGGCTCCCATTTAGGACCACTTTTATTTATTCTCTTCGTCAATGACATATCTTTCATTATTAAGAAAATGAAAGTTTTAATATATGCTGACGACATTAAACTTTTTTTGGAAATAAAAGATGCCAAAGACATCATCACATTCAAAGAGGAAATTCAAATATTCCATACTTGGTGTCAAAAAAGCCTGCTACAATTAAATATAAAAAAATGTAACTCCATTACCATTAGTAGAAGACAAAAGCTACCCGATATAACAGTCACTTTAGGAAACCAGATCGTAGAAAAGCGTGATAGAGTCAGGGATCTAGGTGTTATTTTGGACTCAAAACTTACTTTCACCGATCATTATAACACAATTATTAACACACTGAAAATGTATTTTCGTTATTTCTCTGAAAACCGTTTCGTAAAAATGAATATCGTGCATACAACACATCTTTCATAAATGGTACGAAACATTCGTTTTTCCTGTCATCTGGCGCAATGTCAATATTACGCCTTATTCGTATAATATACAAATACATCTTCGTACAATCAAACCAACAACTCCGCTTATTGTCTCCTAAAGTGCTGATTGTGTGTTGGAGATGGGATATTTTTTTTAGAAATATTGTCGGTTTGACCAATACATGCAAGCTACCACAATAAATCATCGCGGTGGTTTTATGTTAGAGAAAAAAAAATACATGCAAGCAGCAGAAAAAGCAAGAGAAATCGAAGTACCGCTCCATGAGTGCTTCTTATTTGCCTTTAGCTTTACCTCTTCTCATAGCACAGGTAGAGCGATGGATAAAGCACAGATCTAATGATCGCAAGGTGCATGAGTCGAGTCCTGTCTGAAGTCTAATTTTATTTTTTTGTCATTTATTCCTTCCAATGATGAAGTTATTTTTAACCATCCTCACTAACACACTCCACATTTTTCTGTTTCCACAACCAACACTTGTGGACCGCTGGTTGGGTGTAGCGATAGCGAGTGTGGCAGTTCTAACGAAACTAGCTTCATACAATGTACAAATCCATTTCGTTGCAGAAAACAACGAATAAATTCATAGAACAAACGAGCGATTTCGTTGTATAAACGAAATTTTATTTTCAGTGCAGAGCTAACGTTTCTGCTATAACTTTCACGATCCGTATACGATTAAAACATTGTACATTGCTTATGTAAGATCGATATTAGAATATTGCAGCATAGTTTGGTCACCTTTTTCAATCACACACGAAGAAAGAATAGAGTCCGTTCAAAAGCAGTTTCTATTGTATGCACTCCGCAAGTTAGGTTGGACTGTATTTCTTCTGCCATCTTACACAGCTCGGTGTATGCTCATAAATATCCAAACATTAAAAAAGCGTCGTGAATTTGCTATGATTTCTTTCGTAAACGATATCGTATCACATCGCATTGATTCAATAGAACTATTGTCATCCTTAAATGTAAATACACCATCTAGGCATTTACGAAATAGAAATATATTTGCTACAAATCGTCATCGTACGAATTATGCCAAATTTGGACCCTTGAACCAAATGATGGATACATATAATAAGCACTGCGATAACATTGACTTTACAATGACAAAAAACAAATTAAAACAATATTTTAATTCGTCGCATAACGTCAACTAGAAGTAATGTT